AACCGGAATCTTGACGGTCCCGTCTCTCTCAAGCTAAGGAGCCATGTCCTCCGATTTCCCTCCATACATTTCAACTCAGCTCCATTACCTTCTCAATCACTTCCCCGACAAACTCAAGGTATCTCTTCCTCTAACCCTACGAACCTAGATTTATTGTACTTCCTATAAGCAGATCTAGCTAGTTTTTTGGGCTAGGGTTTTATTCTTAATCCAGTGTTCTTTTACCGTAAAAGAAACTGGAATTTCTAATCTAACCTATTTTGCAGATTGAGAATGTATGGTCAGGGAGCAAGCACTACAGTGTCACTCTCGATCGCTTCACATTGGTCATACCTTATTGTTTAGACACTATCAAATGTTAGTAAGGGTTTGATTGCATGCTTTGGGAGATTTGACTGGTAGTTTATTGCCAGATAGCAAGGTGATTTGAGTTTTTTTTTTTTGGATTATTTTTACCAGGGGATATTATATACAATTTGGAGTTTCCACTGGCTGCACCAGATGTCATATTTGGACCTGATGATGAGGACTTCCATCGGTTTCTCATGATGCCTGGTGAAGGAGACAGGGATTCAAGGTCTCGGGCAGAGTTTGCAATGTCTGATTGGAACAACAAAGACCCTACAAGGCTACTGGCTCTAATTAAGGAATTGAGGTAAGCATTGAGTTTTACTGGGAATTACTAATTTGCTATAGATGAAGTTTTAAGATGATTGTGGAAGAAAAATAAGGAAATGGGATTCTCTGTTTTATAGGGATCAGTACGCAGCGTACCAGAGGTGGCGAGCTGGAGAAATAGATGATGATAGGTTAAAATTTGAAATAAGCACTATCATGACTCGAGAGGTAATTTGTGGAGATTGAAAATTATTTTTGTGGGGGAAGGAATGAAAACCTTTATTACTACTAGTGACTAGATCAATATGTTTTAGTTCCTACTTCCTAGTTCCTATTCTTACAACTTTGTATCCATGCGAATCATTTGTTTACTACACTGGATGAATAGATTGTTGCCATAACTCCTCATCTCCTGCTTGACTCATCTCTCTGCTGCAGGGAATTGAAATGCAGATTATTTCTGGTGCTGATAAGGTATTCATTAAAGAAGCATACCAGCCTTCTTTTCTTTTCTTTTTTGACATGTTGTTTTATAGTTTATTATTGTAGCTTTTTATGTAATAGTTGTGGTTTTTATGCCTTTGAATTTAGCGTAGACAGAGGAGGTCAAATTTGGGGTACCTTTAATGCATATGAACATAAATAAGTTGGTGTCTGCATGCCCCTGGAGACATCCGCAGAAGATATACCTACAGGTTCAATTTTCTTTTGATTGAGTTCAAGTTCAGTTTTTTCTATTTCTCTTCTTTTTTCTCTTCACTTTTGACCCAACATGTAATGTTTCATAAGTAGAGTTCTTGATGAGTGTAGGTTATATACCCGGTTGCAAGAAAATATGCATCTGCTCCTTCAGCACCTCGATTGAAGTTGATGTCACCTCCCGAGCTGAAAGCTTTATTTTCCATTGATGATGTCAAGCTTCCTTCGTGGTTGGATGGAATGTAAGTTGTGCATGTCATTCTGCCTTTATAGACATCCTTGCAACATCTTGAAAGATATCCAGTAGGACTTATGCTGACACATCATTGTTGTCAAATCATTATTGGTTTTATTGTCTCCTTTGAAGGTGCATGGCTGAATATCTTCCCAACCTAGAGGAATCCCTTGGGAAGCAGGTGAGTGTAAACTCTATGATCATTGGACAATTGAGTTGGATATCATAAATTTGATAATTTTTGTTCCTTAAATCTTTCCTTGTTCTTAAGGTCTTTGAAGCAGTAACACTTATTGACTTTAGAAGGTCCTTTATTGAGGCATTAGCTCCTTTATTTGGAAGACCTTTGGAAGCTGATCCGGTGTGCATTCTTTGTATTCTTGTATAAGTATTTCTTCTAAAGTTTTTGATTAAATAATATTGACTGCTGATGCTCATTGTTTCCCAGGTGTTCTGTAGAAAGGCTACATTTCTTGCAACTTCTGGACCATTTGCTTTCCTGGTAAGATATGTTAATTGTTTTATGTCTCATTTAAAATCAAATTTAGAAGTTTAGTAAATTTCAATTCTTCAAGGACTGATCATCACATATGCATGGGTGAATTTATGTGATCATTTGGAATGTTTCAGACTTTCAGTAATGTGATAGTTTTCTTTTCTTGTGATGTGGTGCTACTAATATTTTATCTACCTACTGATATCAATATTCTTTTTTTTTTTTTTTGTGAGAAATCTTTTATTTATTTGCTGATCGTTATGTTTTGGCAGTCAAATTTCTTTTTGCCATGTGTGATCAAAACATTGAGTTTCTTTTTTACTGTAGGTGTATTTTCTTCTTTCAACACAGTTTCCCAAGCAACAGCCGGTTTTGATGCTTCAAAGTACTCAGGTAATACTTATTTTTCCTTGCATCAATTTTATGGATGTTTTGTGGCTCTGTGCATAAAGTTTGGGGACATTACTACGTCGAAAATGGATATTTAGTCTACTATATCTATACTTGATTTGAATATGTACATTTACATTTCCTTAAACATGTCTTAATATCAATGTGTTTGTTGTTATAATTAATTTTTTGACAATGCTTTTGTTGTATCTAAATATCAACTAGGGTGTTGGTAACATCACTATCCCAAAAGAAAGTATAAGTGCATAACTAGGCTAATTCATTCTAGTTGTTCAAAAACCATTCATTTTCTTTCATCCACTGATATGACTTCCTCCTGTGCAAAATGACTGAATGGATTACCATTGATTGTAGCATTTCCAATCCCAAGGTGTACCGATAAAGTCTGCACTTCTGTCAGATTATCCTTGGAGTCCAAGATGGGAAGTATCACAAATGGCTGAGCGGATATTGTGAGTCATTTCTAGTTCAATAATCGATACTTGATTGATAGTTCATAAGTTCTCCGTTAATTCTTGCATGTTCTTAACAATTCAAACTTCTTTTTTGCAGTGAATTTTTGGTAGATGAGGCTCTGAACTTCAAACGGTATTGCAATGAATCCCAGCTGCAACACTAGAACACCATGATAGGTTGTTTTTGCTTCTGGTTCTCCTTATCTATTCCAGTTCTGCTTAAGTACAAAAGAAAAAAACAAAAAAAATCTAGTTCTGTAAAGTTAATGGAAATCCTACCAGCTTGTTGATATCATGGTGAAAATGTGTCCAAAGGTGGACTCGTGGAGCTGATATTCATGGGTTATGACTGTTGTAGTCTACATGATTTTCCTCTCTATAAATGATTATATTTTATCATCTTCCTGAAGGAATCGCTCATGTAGGCCTTATCTAGAGGCCTGTTGTGGCCCAATAGCTCGAAGCACTAATCTTTAAGTAGCCCAATTTATACGAAAAGTTGAGCGGAATAAAAACGACTGCTGGCCCAGTTATACTCACCGGTTTTTATCTAACCAGTACAATTATTACACGTGGCAATAATCTTTCTGTTTGGTGGGCCTCCACTGTAACTGAACCGTACATTAAAAAAAAAAGGCTAAAAAATAGGGAGGGAACCGAACGGGTATTTCCGCGAAAATGGTGAAAACATCCTCACATGGCGCTTCACCTTCTTAACGTGGGCACCCTTCCCGTCCAGCGTTTAGTTTGTTGTCCGCACTGTCCCGATCTACCTGTCAAGCTCGTGAGTCGTGACAGACAAACCTTCAAAAATATCCCGCTCTCTATTATTACTCTCCCTCTCTCTCTTCCCCCATAAATCCATTCTCCTCTCATTTCTGCAAGAAACCAGACACCCCCCCGATCTTGCCGATTCATCATGAGGGAGATTCTTCACGTCCAAGGAGGCCAATGCGGCAACCAAATCGGCTCAAAGTTTTGGGAGGTCATCTGCGATGAGCACGGCGTTGATCCTTCCGGAAGGTACCATGGAGACGGATCCTCCGATCTTCAACTGGAGCGCATCAATGTGTATTACAATGAGGCCTCTGGTGGCAGGTACGTGCCTCGGGCTGTTCTTATGGATCTTGAACCTGGTACCATGGATAGTATCAGATCCGGTCCCTATGGCCAGATCTTCAGGCCCGATAACTTCGTGTTCGGGCAGTCTGGTGCTGGAAACAACTGGGCCAAAGGTCATTACACTGAGGGAGCGGAGCTGATCGACGCTGTTCTTGATGTTGTTCGCAAGGAGGCGGAGAATTGTGATTGCCTGCAAGGTATTTCCTCGCTTCAAATCTAACACTAAATCGTATTTTGGTAGTGGATTTCTACATGGTGAGTTTTGATTGTTCTATAATTTCTTCATTTGAATTTTATTGGACGAGTTTGTAATCCTGAATTAATGCGTAGATTTTGTTTTGCTATTGAATTCCAAAGTTGTTTCTGAAATTAAAACCAAGTTCGATTACCGACGTCCTCCTATGATTTCTTCTGGCATTTAACTTTCTAAAAGGTTCTGCTGGAGTTTCTGGATCATTTCGAAGATTTATGGCTCTTGATGACCATTAATTCTCCTGGTATGGTATATTGTGCTATGAACCTTCGTTTTGAGCTGGTTCTAGTTTAACTTCGAAGTGATGAACAATCGTGTTTACAGAAAATGCTATTATTTCATGAAATAAAAACTCTGAATGATTCGATCTTTTGGTAATTGTAGTTAATTTCTTCTTCTTTGGCTACCAATCATGAATTTGGAATATGATTGGCATTATTCACTGTGGATGTGATGTGCAAGGGCTGGCCTGCATGTTTCCCACTGCCATCCTTTGTGTTTAATCAAATGTTTGTTTCTTCTGTTAGTCGCTAACTTTCGGCAATAAAAATGAGATAAATACTCATTCGTTTTGTCTGGTGTGGCTGTAGGGGAAGTCATGAGTCTTTATCTACTTTTCTTATGCAAAATTATATAAGCTGATCTAATTGTACGATTATTATTATAAATGTTATTTTATCATACCATGATTGTGATTTCCATTTTACCCGAAAAAAAAAAAAAAGGAGATTGTGATTTCCATTTTACCCAAGGAAAAAAAAAGATTGTGATTTACACACAGCATGATAATTTGTTCCTACCGACATCATCTTAATGTTTTTTCACTGTGACAACGACTTTAAACTATATCTTAGGAACTTGTTTCAATCTCTAGCGTGGTCATGGGACCCTTGTTTGTATTACCGCTGTCTTTTTGGTTGACTTGTTTTGGTAGCATATTTTAATATGTGAATCCCAAGACAAATTAACTATCACTAATATTTCCCTTGTACATAATCATGTAACTACTGTCTATATATGTATTTTATATAAATATTTCATAAGTATCCCATACTATCCCACAGATTCAGATCTTGTTCTATCCAATATAGTAGAGTGGTACCATTACTAGATATATTAGATAAATTTCATGTCAAGTGGTTTGATCTGGATCTGCATCATGTTGTGGGTGGAAGATGCTTATGAAACAATCGGGCGTATATGACCACATATGTATCATCAATCGAATATATTAACTATAAAATAGTTAGTCCAATGCTGCGCTGCTTTATGTTCTGAAACAAACTCCATGTTGATTCATTGAATATATATTTTTGTTTTGGGGTTGCACTGTAGTCATAAATTGGATCAGGTACAAGATAATCCGATCCATGTAGTGAACTCTCTTGGGTCTAGGTAGGAGTTCCAGAGTAGTATGAATGAGTCCTTTGCTAGAGTCATTCCCAGTTTTTCTATAAACGCTAACTGGTTGATTAATTGGAGAAATACAATCACTCATGTTTCATTTTTACCAGGCTTTCAAGTATGCCACTCACTTGGAGGAGGCACAGGCTCCGGTATGGGAACTCTTCTGATATCAAAGATCAGAGAGGAATACCCAGACAGGATGTTGATGACATTCTCCGTCTTCCCTTCACCAAAGGTTTCTGACACAGTTGTGGAGCCTTATAATGCCACTCTCTCTGTGCACCAATTGGTTGAGAATGCTGACGAGTGTATGGTTCTTGACAATGAAGCACTTTATGACATTTGCTTCCGGACTCTAAAACTCAGTACTCCAAGCTGTGAGTATCAAAATATTCCTAGTGATTAATTGCTAAAGCAATAAATACTAGTGATAAAGCTAACCTCTTGTTCTTCCAATTTGCAGTTGGAGACTTGAATCACTTGATTTCTGCAACCATGAGCGGTGTGACATGCTGCTTGAGGTTCCCTGGTCAGCTGAACTCTGACCTACGAAAGTTGGCTGTGAACCTGATCCCATTTCCCCGTCTTCACTTCTTCATGGTGGGATTTGCCCCCCTGACCTCTCATGGCTCCCAGCAGTACATCTCCCTCACTGTCCCAGAGCTAACTCAGCAGATGTGGGATGCCAAGAATATGATGTGTGCTGCTGATCCTCGTCATGGTCGCTACCTCACAGCCTCTGCTATGTTCCGGGGAAAGATGAGCACCAAGGAGGTGGATGAGCAGATGATCAATGTGCAGAACAAGAATTCATCTTACTTTGTGGAATGGATTCCTAATAATGTGAAGTCCAGCGTTTGTGATATTCCACCAAGGGGTCTGAAGATGGCATCCACTTTTGTGGGTAATTCTACATCAATTCAGGAAATGTTCAGGAGGGTGAGCGAGCAGTTCACGGCTATGTTCCGCCGTAAGGCCTTCTTGCACTGGTATACTGGCGAAGGGATGGATGAGATGGAATTCACAGAGGCAGAAAGCAACATGAATGACCTGGTGGCAGAATACCAGCAATATCAAGACGCGACTGCAGAGGATGAAGCCGAGTTTGAGGAGGGCGTCGAGGAGAGCTATGATTGATCCCTAAGATGATTGTGGGCAATATCACCAAACTGGGATGGATTTGATTGGACCAACTTGACCTCTCCCATCTACTACTTTATGATTTCCATTGCCAGTGTTGTTTCCATTGTTGTGGACTTATTTTTAATGTGTTGTTCAATCATTTACATATCTGCAAAATAATCTTGGTCGCACTCTGTTGCTCTCGAGAATTTAACATGTATTCAAATATTTTCTTACTGGATGGGAGCATGGGTGTTACTAGTAGAATGGATGCGAAAATGGTAAAATGTTTGCAGCATTTTTGGTTCATCATTACCTTGTACTTCTACTCCCGAGCTCCCGAACTTTGTTCATTAAGCTCATGTAAAAAATGATATTAATATTTTACGATCAATGTATGATAAATTTTGATTTAAAATGTTTTTCCCAGCTTAAATCCTTTTTTTTTTTACTTTTTTTAATACTAAATTTTAAATACAAATTAATCTAAAATCAAGTTATATCATTCTTTTTAATTTTTATTTTCTTTTTCTATCAAACACTCTCAATAAATCTTTAACAATAAATCGAATTGTTTTTCTTTGATCCTCAAATTTGTGAATTTGACGCATGATCTTGACATAATAATCCGAATTCAACCTTTATTTTTTGAATAACAATGTAGATAAAAAAGTGTTATAATGCAATTCACACAAAATTAGATAATCAAATTAAACTTCTCTAAATAACCTTTCCCAACAAAATAGCCGGACCCCCAGTTCCATGGGCCCGACCGAATGCAATGCTTGTAGGCCTGGCCATAGGCCATGGACCATGCGTACAGTCCATGCGTAATTTTATGAAATTTGAGATTAATTGTTTTGTATTCCTTCCCATAGAACTAAATTTAATATAACATCCCATGCGCAATTTTACGGCAAAAGCGAATTATGAAAAGATATTTCTCTCAAACAATATCAAATATATCTCGCAGAAAAGTATCCCCTAAAATCCATTTTCATTTATACGTCACAGATAATTACTGCCTATTATTAGCCTATTTAGTGCTCTACCTCCTTCACGGACAAAACAAAAAAAGCAAAATCCGAATAAGCCGGGGAAAAAAATTATCCATTGATGACACGTGGCTTGTAAGAACTAGTTGAATACTTCATCTTGCATATTTGCCATCTCTTTAGTCTTGCCTGAGCAGCTCTGGCTCTGTTTACATCAACCGGCTCGGAATACTCCTCCAACCCAAACTCCTCTTCTGGAGAGACGTTAAGATCTGGGATCCTAGCTGGGCCCACCTTATCTCTCACCCCTTCCAATGAGCAAGTGTGGCCGTGTCGGAACTGAGAATTATTATCACTTGCTTCTGATGTCTGAGCCGTCTCAGCCGTCAGATTGATGATGAACGGCTGCTGGTGAAACAGAAGGGACGGTTGCTGACGGTGGTGATTGGCGGCAGGTTGGGCGTATTTTGTTTCCACATGGGACGCTTCTTTCTCCACGCCAGGGCTTATTAACTGAAAATTAAAAACAGGTAAATAAAATGATTTTTAAAAAAAGAAGAAAAAAGAAGAAGAAGTAATGGCCATGTCCGATATTAAATTATAAAATAGAAATTAATAATAAAAAATAATTTTTAATATTAAGAAATTCTCATTATTTAATAATTTACGTAACTTATATAATTTAATGTAAATTAGCTCTGTACAACATTTTTTAAAAGAAATTAAAAAAATAACCAAACAAAAAAATTGCAGAATTCTCAGAAAAAAAAAAAAAAAAGACCTCTTGTTTTCTCGCTTTCAATGCGAGATTGTATGCTTTGATCTTGTTGTAGTAAATCCTCACATTCTCAACTTCCTGTTTTTATTCACAAATATGTCAGAGAAGGAAATTGAAGGGTTAAAATTGAAAAAAAGGACAAATTAATTAATGACAAAGATCAAAAAAGAGAAGAAAATTATACCCTTTGGAGTAATTCTTTGCGCCGAGTTAAAACGTCTATCAACTGTAATTGTTCCTCTCTGCTCTGTTTGATTGGTTGCCAAGAAAACGAGAACAGAGGAATCAGAAGACGGAAGCAAAGAATTCGCGAGAAAATAAAAGGGAAGAATGGAAGGCGGAACATATATACCCTTTTTAAGGAGACCTTTTTCTTGTGGGGTTCAGGCTTCTCATCGGACTCACTAGGCCAGAACGACAGAGGCGTGGCGGGACTGGAAGCCTCCGCCTTTTTTGTAGGAGGCACCACAAGTAAAGTTCCAGGAACGGACGGCGACGCTGCTTTTGCTGCTGCTGGTTGTGGTGGTGGCGGCGGTGATGACTTCGCAGGAGGAAACGATGGGGTTGGGGCGTCGTCTTTCCCGGGGACGGATCTCTTCTTCTTGACACCCCAGGAGAAGGGAAATCGAGGCCGAGAAGACTCAGATTCAAGGATTATGTGGCTCATCTCCGCCAAGATTTTGGCTACTTCAATTTCATCCGCAGTTGGGAGGTCAGGGCTCTGCTCCATTCTCTCCGTTTTAATCTGTAGAAAGTAGAACTAAGTCTCGTTCTTGTTTCGCTTAAATCTCCATTGAAGATGGCGAATTCTGAGGAGAAGAGAGTAGGCGAAGAGGCATAACTCCATTCAAGAAGAGAAAGAAGTTTGTGAAGACGAAAGACGATGAGGTTAGTGCTTGGAGAAGAGATGTTGAGTTATAAAGGCAGGAACTTGGAACACAAAGGCGCGGGTTTGACACGTGTCAGTAAGAGGGAGATTGAGATTTAGGAAGCCTAGGGTTTAGGGTCTATTTCTCTGCTGTTCAGGAATTAGGAGAGTTGTTGAAGTCCCAAACACGGCAGTCCAAAAATGGTTAAATCCTCAATTCTACAATCCGATTTGGCCTTTAAATTAAAAATTTTTTAATTTGTTCTTTAAACTATTACACAGATTTTTTATTTGGTCCTATTATATATTAATTTACCTTAAATTGGTCACTTTGCACAAAAAAACAATTGACATATCTCGTTATTAATGTGACATATGATTGTTAAGTTACTATTTTTTATATGAAATGATCAACTTGAAACTAAATTAATATACAATAGAAACCAAATCAAGAGTCCATACAATAATTTAAAGACTAAATTCATGTCGCCTGCCAAAAATTTGCCCTATTTTTGATTTTACGTATTTATGATTTTATTCGATTAATTAACAGTTTGAAATCACTCCTGTTACTCTGTTTTTGAATGAAAATTTAAGTATTTTTTTAAATTAAGAACCAAATCAAAGTCTATACAATAATTCAGGAATCAAATTAGAGTTTAAACCAACATAAATCCATTGGTCTTTGACTTGCCTATATATGCCGCAGCGATTTGCAATTCTGGACGGACCAAGGAATTGAGGGCCTGCTTATGAGTTATGACCATATCGTGAAGTTTCAAGGCAAGGCTAGAATGATAAAAGAATATTTAATTTAATTGTTAAAAATAATTATTAATACTAAATGTTGGTTGATGATAGATAAAATAGTTAATATCTATTATTTAGTAATAAATTTTTTTGACGGTTAAGGGGTATTTTTTATTATAATAAAAAAATATAAAAATTGACATTTATTTTAATGTTAGTATTAAATTGATGAATTTAATTAAATAATTAAAAATTAGATATTTTTTTAATATAAATTTATAATGATAATATATGCTTATTATATCATTAACGCAAAACTCATATTAAAATAACTTTTTATGACACGTATTTAAAAAACCTTTTAACAATTCAAAATCAACTTATATAATTGTAAACTAATAAAATTTTTAAAAAAAATTCAATAAATTTATAGTGTTTTGTGTGGCCATAATAAATCTTTACGTGGCCATAAGATGGCCCGAAGTATAGAGAGGAATTCATTGACGTGATAATTGAGGTTCGACTTTTAGTAGTATAATGTATAAAGAAAAATTCATCAAATCAGATTCAATTTTTTTTTTCCCTTTTTTCCCGGTTGATTTAGTTGGAGGATGTTGCCTGAAGTGTAGGTTTTGTAGACTTTTAAGAGTTAGAGTGTCTCAAAGCGCAGCTTGTGTCTATTTCAAAGTTTAATCCTGATTTGGACAATCTTGATTCTCAAGGGGGTCATTCCTTCACCAATTAAGTGCATTTAAACAAATTAAATTTACTATCTACTTATTCTCAAAAATCTAAGAAGGAATTGTTATTTGGAAAAAAAAATTACAGTTTAAACTATATCGAATTATAAAATAATAAACTTTAAATTAAGAGACGACTCTTTGATATTAAACTTTCTTTCTCTATCCAGGGCTTTAATTTTATAATTTGATACAATTTAAATTATAAAACAAGGAATTCATTTGGAAATACAATACTTGTAAACACATTGTTTGCTTATTTGTGTCTTTAATCTCACTAATCTCACGTGTATTTATAAACTCTTAGTATTTGAGATATTCAAATATGCATTCTCATTATGATTTGAATAATTCCTTAACCACTTAAACCAATTACATGGTAGATCTTCTCTTGTTTCATTTCACTAAGAAAAAATTCCTCATCTAAGGGAATACTAAGAGCTTCCTTTTCAGCTTCACGTTTGTTGAGCTGCTCGGAGGCAGCTTTGGTGACCATTGTTTTCTTTTTATTTGAAGAAACTGGGGAGGATGCAACTGTTTTCTTTGCAGACTTGGTGAGACTTTAACAATAGAAACACATTTTACCGGAGAAATCAACTTTTGATGCTAATTCTTCCTCTGTTTCTTCTCTAGGAGTTTCTTTGTTTCTTCCATGTGGGGAAGACCGGACTCTCTCATCCTGCAATTGACATATTCAATTATTGGGACTGGGGAGATAGAGAGTAAGGACATAATCTTCTTCTTTTTTTTTTTTTTTTGAAAGGCAGAGAGTAAGGACATAATCTGACATTAAACAATGAAAGAAGCAGAGTCATCAAGATTATATTATAGAGTCGACAATAGAATTGTACCAAATTATGTCAGCAGCTCAGTGAGGTCTCAAAATATCTGAATGTCACAGATTCCTAGTTTTTTGGATGGTCTAAACAAGTTTTTATATCATGGGTTGTGCATGATCTCTGAAGACGTTTGTTTCTGATGCGGTTCTAAAACAGTATGGTTATCTATCATCATATGTTCACAAACCACACCATGGAATACATGTATTCAATAAGCCAAGAAAATTACAATGATGTTTTCTTCCAAGGTAAGAAATTTACAACTATATACAAAATATACTGCAAGAAATGCATCAATTGCCAACACTACAGGCATAAACAACATTTTTTCTCTTTTTTTTTTGGAAGGGAGCGGGTGGAGGGTAGAAACTGGGCCTAAGGCGCATTACATGGCAGGAGTTCTTCTAAAAACATAATTTGAGAGCTTCTTTAAGGCCTATCTTGGCGAGACTATCAGCAGCAAAATTTCTGTGTGTGTGGGTGTGTTGCAATCTCCAGTTTTTTTACCTTTTCAAGAGATTTTGAGGATAAGATTACCACAGAGGTGTGCTTGAGAACCTCTTCATTTTGGATCATATTAATGATCACCATTGAATTAGATTATACCACATAATACGACAGAATGAATGGTTGAGGATCATCTTAAGCGGGATGTCTTCAATTTGGGAACTTTAAATGTAGATGTAAAAAAGCTTGGAGTTTCTGAAATGGGAATAACTTCATGCACTTTTCTCTTCAAACCTTGGCTTCCCTGATCAACAGAAAAAGTGATTCGGATTCAGATACTGCAAACCTTTGCATTCTAGTTATTTCAAGCAAGACAAGTGGGACACTCATAGATTAAAATGTTACACGCAACATTGAATAGTGAGTCAAATTATTAGTTTGTTTGTGGTACTAAGAGTAGGATGGAACCAAACTCAATTTTCAATACAATTGCTGAGACAGATTCTAAGCTGCCAGCTAAATTTTACAAAGACTCAACTACAAACAGTCAAAGTGTCATAGCAAAACACTCCCGTATGCATTAACAAAATGGATTGATACTTTTATATTGTAATTTAAGGTGTAGAAATAGAAGATAATGACAACAGCATGTTTAACCAACAGATTTAACAACAATGTGATATCACAGTAATCAACAGTTGCATCATATTAATTCAAAGGTACCTTATTAGTGTCTTTCAGAGAATCGTGGACTTGATCAGCAGAGGATATTTTCTTCACAGTATTTCTTTGGTCCCTGCTTCCTTCTGCTTTGCAAGGTCTTAACACAGGCGTGACAGAATCAGTTTTAAACTTTAATCTGTTTAGATCAGCCTCCTTCTGAGACACTTCAGCCTTTAATCTCTCAATTATTTGATCCTTTTCACTATTAGAGGACTTCAACTCCTCCATACCAGAAATAAGTGCCTCAATTTTCTTGCTTGCTTCCTCCAGTTCAACATTCTTGCAATGTAATTTATTGGTAAGCTCACTTTCCAGAAGGTTATACTGATTCCATGCAAACTTGTTCTCAGACAAAAGTGCAGAAATCTGAGAACTTTTTTCTGAAGCAGAAATTGGACTTTCAAGCTCTAGTCTTCTTACTTCGCCTTTGAAATTCCTTGAACTACCAGATATTGAACTGCTATCTTTGCCCCCAGCTAATCGTTTGCTAGTTTTTGTGGGGTTCCTTTGAGAAACATCCTGCATAGAATAGAAAGCTTAAAACAATGATCTTTACAAAAGAAACTACCGCTTGAAATAGGTATAAGATCCACGCAACATACTTTTGAATTGTCAGTGAGGAAGTCAAGCCAGACTCTAAAATCACTCAACAAATCTTCGGCTTCCTCTGCAATTAGGCAATTAAGAGATTAATTCACCGCATCATTTCTAAATTATAAAAAGCAAGAATTTGAAAACAACACACACCCCCAAAACAAAACTAATGTCAAAAACTCAGCTCAACTAAGAGTAAAAGTAATTACCACAGAACCTCAAAAAATTGATTACAAGCCATTATTGTGAACACCCTAACAACAAGACATGCATACCTAATCTCAATTTAGAAATAGAAGTCTCTTTCTGCTTCATACCCACCATGAAATCTCCTTTTGCCTCCTCAAGCAAGGACTCCATCTGTTTGCCTTCCAACTTATGCTTCAGCTACGTAAGTAATCAAAAACAAAAAGAAACCATCAATCCTCCAATTTAAAATTAAAAACTGAAAAGCTAACAAAACCCTAGAAACCTAATTTCAACCCCCCCCCCCTCCCCTCAAAGATTGGAGCTTTACCTTAAAGATGTGATCTTCATAGAGACCAATATCAAATTTCCACCGTTCCATTTGGATTCGTAGGCGATCCT